TTTAAAAGAATAAAGGAAAACTTTAGTGGCAATCTGTGATAAACTGGATGATTTATTCTAAGCCCAAAGAAGCAGCTCATCCTGTGGAAGTTGGAGAGTGCCAGGGAGGAGAAGTTGTAAGAGCAGGGAAATGCCTGTTAAGTGTCTGCAATGCTCATTGTGGTTTCTATGAGTTGTGATTCAGTCTGTATATAAAGGCTTTGGGTGTGTTTTGTCAAGAGTGCCCAGGAGAAAGGAGTTTTGCAGCCTTAATGCTGTTTGTGTGAAGAGTCAGTTCTTTAGGGCCTCCAGTATACGGGATTTGTGTACTTTATGTCCAGTTCCTTTGCTGGGAGAGGTGGTGAACAGCCCTGCACAACTGTGTGCCCTGTGTCAGGAATCCTTAGCGGTGTGGAACTATGGGATCCTTGTTCCAGGCTGAAGGATCCTGATGCATTTAACTGGTGGTTGTAAGACCCATGACTGTGGTTTGGGACTCATTAAATAACTCAGTGGATCTGGTTGTCCACACCATAGTGGTGCAGGAAAAGGCTGTAGTGAAGCTGCCAGGAATATGTGCTGTTAAGCAAATCTGTGTGTTAAGAGTTGATTGTTTGTCAGCTGTTTGCCATAGCCTCATCATAGGTAGGACAGAAGGACTAAATTAGTAATTAATTTAGTTTTATAGAGTAGGAAAGCTGGGTAGAAATGATGCCACTCAACTCCTGAGCCAGTGACAATCATTATTCCTTCTGTTGCTGTTGACTGACTTTCTCTAACTTTGTTATGGATACCCCTGCCCAGTGACATTTTTATTTTTACACTTGAATATTTTAGACAGAAAAAGTACATGCAGTCTATCAGTTCAGATGGTTGAGTTTTTCCTGATAAAGGGAATGGCAGGCAGATTTGATGCCTGGTACCCTGTAGCACTAGAATATTTTACTTACTTGGATTAGGAAGCTTTGGGAAAAAATAGAAGTGAAAGAGACTTTATTAAATACAATATATGTGGATACATTTCCTGTAGTACTCTGAATCTCTTAGAGTTTGCAATGATATTGACCTTACTTAATATTAAACCAAATCATCATGGAGTCATGGAAATTTTACAGCTTATAATTATCACAATGTGTATTGCCTAAAGAAATAAAAATTGGGGCTTTTGACAGAGGATTAAGGATGCTTGAGAAACAAAGCTTTTAAGCATTTGTTGGTGAACATCATTATATTATGCCTTGTGCAGTAAGATGTGAAACAGTCCTCCCTTTATCTTGCAAGTAAAAGTTATTAGTGGAAGTGTTGAGAAATAAAAGACTTGGTGTTTAATCTTGGCAGTGACATCAGCGAGTTGCTGAGTTGCCCTTTGGGCTTGGGTCTATCTGCTCCCTTATCTGTGGCAGGGTATTAGCATGGCCAGGCGATTGTTAGTAGAGAACTTTGTAGCTGTGGCTGCACAGGTGTCTTGGTTATTCTCACACTCTCAGACTGACCATTTCTGCTGTTGGGTTGGGCTGCTCAGGACCTTGTTGGGTCTCTCAGAATGTTTCCTCAGCCTCCTTGGGCAGCGTCTCCCTGTGTTTGGCTACCCAAATTGTGGAAATTTCTTTTTTAATACTGTAACTTGATGCAGCCTTGTTGCTTCAGGTCTGCTTTCCCTGTTTCCCTGGGAGTGCGCCTAGCTCATTATTTTTCTTTAGTTACTCTCAGCTATCTGTACCTGTAGACAGCTAAAAACTGAGCGGATCTGAGCAGCCCATGCCTCCTCAAGTTAGCTTTTGCACATCTCTTCTGAGGAAACCCATCTCTCAGGCCCTACCTGTGTGCCATAGGTAGGCAGACCAGGAAATAAAAAGCTGTCTTTTGGAGAAGCTCTAGTGTGTTCCTGCTCATCAATGCCTTGCTGAGGGTCACACCTGCCTCTCCTGCCCTGCCCTGTGCTCCCTTCACCCACAGGATGGTGACCAGGTATGCACAGCAGTGTAGCTGATACTGAGATCTTTGTGCATTTTTTGTTTTTCGTTTC